CTCAATCAAAATAATTATATTCAGGATACTATGAATTTCTCTGAGAGAGTAAATTTTTAACTCACCTATCGATTTTCACTCAGGTTGAAATATTTTTACCAGATGAAGTTTACTCAGTGGGAAGGTATAAGGACACACAGACGTCCACAGTCACACACACAGACACGTGGTAAATATTAATTTAGGGAGCTTGTCATTTGTAAGAGGTGATAGTTAATTTCTTTATTCCTTATATGACTATGCATTTAGAATAATCGATTACTTTGGTAACATTCAATGTTCAGCAATGTTAAGATCAGTATGGTTTGAGCTATGTATAATATGAAAACCATTCAGCTATTGTATTCAACTTCTGTAATCGAACAAACGATGTCAGACGATATAATTTATAAAATGATAAAGAAGAAAGCATCAGTTGAGTCTGTCAGACTTCACATCAGCATAAAAGGGAAATATAGGACACAAGGGTGGTTTATTACAGGTAGGAATCCTAAGCAGTGTCACTTATCACGGAGAGGTGTTTATTTGTGATAATCTTAGTTAAAATAACTACCACCTCTAACACACACACACACAGCTTTGACAGAACATCAGAAACTCCAAGATTTGTTTCAGCCATCCTGACAAACTTCTGTAGTTGGATACCCATCCGTCTGAAAACAGCTCTTATCATCTCACTGGCTCATCATATCAGAAGAATTTGCAGCAGTGACTCCTTAAGAGAAGGGCTCTTATTTCTCAAAAATATCCTGGCACATCAATATGGAACCGAAGCCAAAAAGAAAAGGTTGCACTTCAATGCTAAATAAAATACTATATTTGAATCTGGACTTCAAGGGAGACTGAGGTAAAGGATAATCTCCAGTTCCCTAAAGAAACCTCTCCTGTAGAAACTCTAAGAGTGATATTACCTAGCCGGGCATTGCTTCTAAGCAATGTGAAGGACAAACTTCTGCATACGATCATTCCAGTGTGCACATAAAAGTTCACCTGCTCGTGCAGAGCTAGGCCCATAGGTGGTTCTGTACCGGTCCTGTCAAAATGTGTTAGAGAACATTATCCAGAATTGCTCCTAAGAGGAGGCAGCGGTTCAATCAGAAGCGCCATAATTAAACACCTCGTCAGCACCTGTCACAGCATCTCAACAAAAATCTAACAAAGGCAGTGTGTTTCCGACTTTTTTCTACTACAAAAGCTTTCGCCATATCCATCGAGAAGTCGAAGCTATGTGTTCAGAAGAAATTGGCCCAACCACTACATTTACTACTATGGATCTTGTTCGATTCGACTCAGTTTTCGGTTTTTACTTTTTCATTCCTTTCATTTTTTTTTCTATACTTACCCCATTCACATATTTATTCGTTGAAAACTATTTTCTAATCCTGTGTAATTTTGTTTATAAGCCCCTTGTAGCCTATATTCACTCACATCTTCAAACTTTCATATCAAGTTGAAAATTATTATCACCTTTAATCTCCTTTGTTACTTTTTTGGAATTAAATCACAGTGTTTGTATCTGTGTAAACTTATGTGTATATATGAGATTATACAGATACTTTCGAAAATTAAATTACCGTAAAGATAGTAATTATGTTTCTTCTCTCTAATGCCCTGATGGGTACATATCAAATATTCTAATACTTTGGTTATTGATTATTAACGGAAATTAATACCGTGTGATCAAATAGCAGAATGGAGAGGGATGAAAAGTTGTTACCCCAAGTCTGTTGGCATCTAAGTGGAAATAATTATGGAATATACTATAATTACGAAAAAAATATTGCAAATTGAAAAGAAGCGTAAAATTAACCACATGTGATTAAATAAGGGTTAAATAGTTTAGCTGAGCAGAGGTCAAAACACAGCCCAGTCAAGAATAAATAGATGAAAATAAAATAAAGGGTAGGAAATTACACTGTCACAACAAAATATAATTAAAAAGTAAATTTAACTAATATAACACAAAGGTAATTTATTAAGGTTAAAGAAGAATAACGATGATTTCCTTCTAGATGTGATAAATTTGGTTTTATTCATTTAAGCCAACATCTTTATTCATATGCAAAGTAAGTGCCTTAAACTTTGACTATCCTAAAGAATTGTAATGCGTTGATGATATGTAGTCACATGATGTCTACTTGTTTTCGACAGTCTGATATTATTTTGCTATGTGTATATTGATCGATATTCCATTATAACTAACAATATGCTTTGTCTGTCCATTAACTAAATAAACAATGTATGATCCTTTTGTCACATGATATTACAACCAATCAGAATCCAATGATGGTAAGAAAAATTACTGTCTGTCTTATTTATTATTATTGTTCCCTTGGGTTCCTTGTGGAACATAGGGCTTCAACTGCACGTCTCCACTTCCTTCTGTCTTCCTTCTGCTGTACTATTCACCCGCATCCACTCTATTCCATGCTATTTCAACTCCTCTTCACACCATCTCCTCCATATCACCCTTACACCAACGTCCCACTCGTCGCTTCCCTTTCGGTCTGGTTCCACTCGAGCAATGGCCTGACGCGCGCGCGATGTCACCCAGTGTCGGCCTCCTCAACGACTGTCCAATCCATCTCAATCCACTTTCTCCTGCATATTTGTTGGTCAGTGATTGATTCTTGTTTTGTTTGTTCCCAGCCATAGTTTCTTGTTGGTGATTCTTTCCGGCCCGGCCCAGCCCGGCCATCTGATCTTCAGTATAGAGCCAGCGAAGACAGTTGTTGATTGATAAAGGTCTGGTCTCAACAGTCTGTTGGAAATATTCTTTGTGACCCGCCAAGCGCCAAGATTCTCATGCATTCCGTATAGAAGAAGTGACTGACTTGACGTTGTTCGTATTGAAAATCCGACCGAATTTTGTTGTTGATTCTGGCTGAGTGACGAAGATTTCCAGATTAGATTGGTTTCAGGTTGATGAATGTGTTTCTCGCTCGCCTTCTCGATTCTCGCTCGATTTGACATCGTCGTCTGTTCCGACTGCGTGTAGTTGAGACAATGCTGCCTAGATCAGTGAGTGAATGAAGTGACCTCTTTCAAATCCCTCCCGTTGATGGTGATTGGCGCTTGATGTTGCTGTTGGTGTTGTTGTTGGTTGGTTGGTTGGTTATTTTCATAACCTCCATCTTGTCTATGTTCACCTGGAGTCCTGTCTTCGTTGGTTGCTTCTTCGACCAGTTTGTCGGTCGGTTTTCGCTTGTAAGTCTTCGATTTTGTGACAGAGACATCGAACAAAAATCGTCGCCGCGCGAAATCCAGGTCTTCTAGGTTCTTCACGTCAGTACCAGTACAGGATATCCCTGTCTTCTGGTTTCCCACTCGCTGTCTGACGCATAATCCAGTCAGTCCACCACAATTAGGAATATCATTGGTGATAATAGGCTGGCAGCCTTGTCTGACTCCTGTGTTTACTCCAAACGCCTCGCTTAGTTTTCCGTTGTGGACATGAACTTGACATGTCCCGTTGTCGTGCAGCTAGCTGTTGAATAAGGTTGATGAATATTTGGGGCACTGTACGCCGTAGTACTTGAGTAGTTTCCAAATTACTTCGTGGTCAACGCTGTCTGTCGAAGGCCTTCTCAAATTGTATAAAGTTGAGGTGTAGAGGTTTGATTTCCATTCCATGCTTTGTTCTGTGATGATGATGATGATGTGTAGAGTTGCGATTTGGTCAGAACATGATTTGCCTTTCCTGAATCCAGCTTGTTCTGGTCGGATTTCTGTATCCAGTGCGTCCTTATTAGTCTTATTGGTTCATGTATATTCGTCATTTTAATATATACTCTGCATTGTACACTTTTACACACTTGTTCACACCTTTCGTATACTACGTACCCTTTCACTCACACACATGTGTGACAATCTGTTTCCCTTGTTGCAAAATACACGCATCAACGTGAACGTGGTGGCCTTCTGATTTTCCCTTTTCGCGTCGGGACAATTAGCTACTCACCAGTACAAAACATAAATTGGCGACGGAACCATAACAGTTGATTACATGACAGCTGGACAAAAGGCAGTGAGCAGTCATACTTACTACTAAGCACTTTTTCACGTTTCACATATTAATTTCTTAGAATATGCTCAGATATTCTGTCTCATAAATCCTTTTTGCTGTTCGTCCGATAGATACGAGCTTTGGCACGTATGTATACATTGATATGTCCAGCTGGAGGTCACATTATTTGTTGAAACACCTAGGACACATGTCAGTATTAATTAACAGGATAACTAAATCACATCCTGCCACTACATGCCGCCGACTAGAAAGAGATTACATTTGGGTTTTCTATGTGACCGATGCATATCCGGACAACTTTACAACATGTCAAAATAAAAAAGGATTTCCCTCGAAAAGACAACTTCCATACCAAAGAAAGCTATCTTCATTAAACAACCACTCAAGAGTGACTGAATCGTTCTCAAAGGATTTCGTCATCCATCAAATGCATATTATGTACCTCATCCATTGTCGTCGCATCTTGAACATTTTCAATTCCTGTGCCTAACATAAAAGGACGAAATTCTGTTGACTCTGCTTCATACAGTTTCTAGAAGTTAAACCTGCAGTTCCAGTGACACTAACAGAATGCTCCAATGTCACTGGAAAACAGTTACTCGCGTTTCGCAAAATTTTATGCATGCCACTCCTTGAAAGCATATGTGTGTTGAGATGAAGGTGATTTATCTAGAAATTAGTGTTCCGTACTCTGTGTTCACTGTGACATATTCGACTGGAAAATCAAATATGACGAATATGTAAGTGCGTAATAATTAAGCGATTAGAAATGAATTATAATAGTCTGCTTATGTGTCTGATGATATCAACTAGTTCCACAAACTTATGGGACTACCGATCATCTAATCAACCAAACATGGATCTAATTAATGTCACTTAAAAGTTTGAGCATTGTGTAAAAGATCAAATAAAGTACAACTTTACAATTTCTGGAAGCAAAGAACACATTGGGCAAGATAAAATGATATCATTATATTGAATTATTTTCTGTCAGCTGTCATGCACTGTATACTGTCATATACTCAGATTTCAATTTATTCTCATATCATAATAACCAAAGCATCACATTAATACCACGCCCTGATCATTTCCTCAAGAAAGGATTTGTACTGTATTCATAAAAAATAAGCTGTGATGTGACATTAAATAAAGTACAACTATATTTCAATGGATTACACACAATGATAAGTTTTGTTATTGATAATATTTCGAGCAAAATTACTGCCCTTGTTAACACCACTGTCCATCAGAGTCAATTCGAAGAAACCTCAAAAATATCGGTATTCACACACCGTTTAAACCGACGAATCTAATAAAAAATAAAATAAATCCACTGAAAGATCCCATAAAAATGATGGATAAAAACAATCTGATTTACAAAATACCTTGTGCTGACTGTCCGACCAATTGCGTGAGTCAAACGTCCAGATCACTTAATATAAGAGTGAATAAACAAAAACGCCTAACCAGAGGTCAACCAACAGGAACACAAGCCTACAAGGATCTTGAAAAAAAAATTCATCGATAGCCACACATGCATGGGACAAAAACCACAATATCGATTGGAACAATGTGTGTATTCTAGAAACTAATATGAACAAATGGAAAGAGAGACTTATAACAGAATCTATATTCATTAAGGTCACACCGGATACATATAACAAGGGTGACTCAGTACAACTGTTAACAACTTGGAATATAATACTGAATACAAAAACATGAATGAACAGAAAATTAACTAAATATATGAGTACAAATCAAAAAAGTGTGAAAGAAGCAATTCGAACAGTGGTGTAAACACGGGCAGTAATATTGCTCGAAATATTGATTGGGCAAGCAAAACCAACGAACGATTTAATTCCCCTCAAACATTTGTACACCAGAATGTATATCCTGGTGCGCCTTATGTGTACAACCTGAAAAAGAAGTCGGATAAAATCATTTAATACTTACTATGCGTTAATATCGATTATTTGCAGGTTAAGCGAAAACAGTATTTATCATGTTTAATTAAGCCTAGAGTACACACACCTTTTTGACTCACTTAAGTGTGCTCACTAAAAGAGAATACTCATTTATGTAATCACAACCAGAAAGGGTTGGTCATCCATGTGATGTTTCCTTGTCTATGGTATTTATAAACGCTGCAAAGATTGGAAGATTTCACACAAGAAGTTCACCTCGTTCAGCCTAATTACTACGTGTTTCAATAAGGATAGAACAGAATGTGACGATAACCTCAACGTAGAAGAAAATCATTCTATGGTGTGTTCTGTTTTCGTCGTGATTATTTGAATTATCCGTATTGTTTTTCTTCTAATCCATTCACACACACACACACACACAAACAATGTACTCAACTAACTGTACATAACCAAATATACGTATTTTTACTTCCATTTTGATTTTATCCCAATTATTATTATTCTTCCTTTTTAAGCTGTGCATATTTATGACTGTGAAAGCTAACTAGGATGACATCAAAACGTAGGACAGTGGACTTGATTAAGATTAACTCGAAGGAAGAAACAGGCAGTCACTTATGCATCATTTCATATCGCCTCGAAACTGACTATGGATGAAGAAACAGACACCCGAAAGTAGAATGTGTTGCTCACTGAAATCACACAAAGTACCGAGAGAAACCATCATTTTCCCTATACTCACCTTAAACATCTTGTATACGCTGTCTGCCTCTTCCGCCAAATTGTTGGTTTCCACCCTTAAACCTTCCAGTTTATGTGACACTAGACATAAATCGTCTGTGTAGCCCCAAGCCTCCTGGAGTCGTCTTAACAGTTCAACGTATTCCTGTCTTTGCAACACACTTATATAAGGACTAAATAATTTCGTTGAACACAGATCAATATAGATAAAATGGAGGAAACTACATTGTCGAAACAAGATTTTAATGCATTGATTTCATGCCCCTGTCTAACAAGTGGCGAGCTGTCGCTCTACTAAGGACTCTTCCAGGTACATATATAAAGCTTGAAAAGTTAGTTTCATCATAACGCTCTAACTTAAAATGCTTATTTTGATATTGGGTTTAGGTAATTGACATTTGAGTTGGACAAAATGATTAAGTGTTGTATACGTTATTGACATAATAATCATGAATAATAAGTCATGACCAGTGGGATCAACTAGGTCATTTGTGAGAGGTGAGGTGCTCGCCGATAACACACTGACTAACTGTGGGACCATAATTCACGAATTGACAAAAGTTAGAATTGATTTAATCGAGCCATCTAGCTAATAAATGAAATGGTTGAATAACGAGAAATAAATAGTTAAATGTAGTGAATACTATGGGTGAGAAATTGTGTCATGCAGTTCACTCTGGAGGTGAAGATTCACACATTTATAGCAGCGATAAAACTTAAAGTCAGTAAGACAATTCTTCATAGACCATAAATTATGGTGACCTGCTTAAATCCCTCACCTAGCTGAATTTCCTTTCAACACAATGAATCGATTCTTCTTCCAACTAAATATTATACATTTTTCGACGGACTTGACGGAAAAGTGTGATAGAGGAGTGGAACTTGCTTCGCATAGAACAAAACAGCGTATCTCAGTAGTGATGAGAGCTCCTTCAAGACTGCAGGTGTACCTTGGTAACGAATGGCAACTGGCACTCAATATATCTACACTAAAGTGATAAAAGTCACCAATGCTTCACTAAACCCTAACCGACTTTATCTTTTTGCATGCCACTATCACTTTACTTTATCACCAGATAATCTAAATCCAATTCTCTCTCAACCTATCTGCTAACAACTGTACAGCTTACACGTTAAGCGCTAAGCTTAAATTTGTTATTTGTTTACTTATGTATTGATAAGCTTTATCCTCCCTGAAAATGATCAACTTTCTATTTAGAAATAACATACGTATCGGACACTTATTATTCAGTTCAATTCCCTTCCTAATTCCTTCCTTTCTAGAATATTCATCATTTAATATGTGATGTGTTAGCTGTAGTAGTAGTAGTAGTAGTGGTAGTAGTAGTAGCAGTAGTCTTTACAGCCCTCCTTTTTCTCCTTTCTACCTTTTCATATTGATTATTTTCTGTCAGTCTTCTGTTTTATCTATCTAACTTATTGAGATTTTCCTTTCCTCTTTGAATTGAAGTAAACATTTATTCCTCCTGTTGTTGACTCTTTGCAAGCGATACAACCTACTCGTCAGTTTTGATCGTCGTTTCTTGCAAAGAGACCAGCAAAATCATGAATGTCATTCCCCACCACCATGTGTTTCAGAGGTATAATATGCGTGCCACCGAAATCATTTCTGACAGGCTAATGCAGACTTGCGACTTCCGACTGAAGATCACACAAACCAGCCAACAGTTTGTTACCCAAAATGTATGCCTGAGGAAATGTAGATGGGTTGGACATACACTGATGAAATCATTAGGTGACACTACATGTCGCTCCGTCCAGTGGAATCCAAATTGGAAACGACAACTTGGGCGTCGATTCGAGGGGTACATGGAGGAGATCATGAGAGGAGGAGATGAGAGCTTATGAAAAATTGTGAGGCGAGCTAAAAAGGATTGCAGAGGACAGGATGAAGTGGAGATGTGCTGTTGAGGCCATATGTTCCATTCACAACCCAACAGAGTGACGAGCAGGAATATGATGAAGTGTTTAACTATGATCTAATTCATTAGTCCGAACAGTTTTCTGTTTTGTATAGAATGAGCAGTACCCAACGTTACAGTTAGTAGACTTTCAGAGGACCGGTGGATTCTCATCGTCTGATGTGATACATTTGAAATTCACTCAAGATTTAGTCTCCAATTATTGTCGGTGGAGATAATTTCTTATATTTTAACCAATATTATTTCATATATTTCCACTAAACTCGAATTCTGAAGGTCATTAAGTGACGGAAAGAATCTCCGGAGAATTTATTTAAAATAATAGACCCATACAAATGAATGAAAAGACTAGATAACGAGACAAAACAGTAACGGAACCCGTCAGAATACCTGTCCATTACTCTGCGATTTGAAACAACGATAGTTGGCATGTCAATTAGAAATTAAGTGAAGGAGGAAGGCGAACAGAAAGCGATGAAAATGTTTAGGAGAAGAATCCAATATGTCTCAGAAAAGTAACGAAGAAAATGCGAATGCCTGATACGAGCGGGATGATGATATGACTTGCGAATTGCGTGTGATCAATATATGTATATATATATATATATATATATATATATATATCCTTTCTAGTTTTGATCGTTCTTTGGGCCAACAATCTATAACAAGCCTCCAAATTATTATTATTATTATATCCCTTAATTCCTAGAGGAACAAAGGGCTTCAGCTGCGCGTCTCAATTTCCTTCTGTTTTCTGCGAACTTTTTCACCCCGCTCCAAGTATGCCAACATGCTTTCATCTCCTCCTCACATGACCTCCTCCAAGTCACCACACCCATGCACTGACGACCAACTCGCCGATTCCATTTCGGGTTCCACTCGAGCAATGGCTTATCTGGTGATGTCACTTGATGATTTGTTTCCTCAGCGTATGGCCAGCCAATCCATCTCCATTTCTTCCTACCTATTTGTTTCACAATCGGTTCCTGCTGGGTTGGTTCGCTCATTGCCAGAGATCCCTCCCTGTTGTTGATCTTTTCTGGCTGGCCAGGTATTTTGTTTATGATAGACAGGAACATGATGCATTGTCTTGAAGTCTCCTTTCTTTGGTAGTTTGAATAAGTATCCTTTCTTCCGACCCTCAGGTAATGTGCCCTCTTTCCACACCTTCTTCATCAATGGCGTCATCAACTCCGCTGTTTTGTCTGGGTCTATTTTCAAAGCTTCTGCCGGGATTCCATCTGGTCCTGCTGCTTTCCCAGCTTTTAGCATCTTGATTGCATTCATTCTGACTTTGTCGGGGGGTCAATGTTCACCGGTAGTTCTGCTTCCGTTTTTGGTATTGTTGGGCGTGTTGTAGGTGGCGGACGATTTAGAAGTCTTTTGAAGTGTTCAGCTCAGTGTTTTCTTTGTTCCACCTCTTTGGTGATTGACTTTCCATTGTCGTCACTTATTGGCTTAATCTGTGTCGAACTTATGCCCGATAGGTGCCTTGTTGTTTGGTAGAGTGTGGCGAGGTCTGCTTTGCCTGCAGCTTGTCCTGCTTCGTTTGTTATGGTTTCATAATATTTTCTTTTGTCTTCCCTGGCACTCTTCTTCACTCTTTTGTTCAGCGTATTGTAGCTTGCATTGAACTGCTCCAAATATAAACAACTAATTATTGCAGTGAATACCTCAAATCAATCAATCAATCTAAGAAAATGGTTTTCTTTGGGTTATACAAGGTTGAAAGATGTCAGACTAGAAAAATAATTTGTATGTTGATCTGTGTTTGTCTGGAGGATGTTTCTTCTCCATACACGTGATTCCCTTGATACATTTTGATAATGCAAAACAGAATAAATTTGCAATACTGAATGACGTCATTCTGTTTCACATTCTGTTTCACTATCTGAAGACTCTGATGACTTGAAATTACTCTGGTTATAAAAGAATGAATGAAAATGTCATACTTTTATTCTGGAATGATGCAAGACAAAATGTAAACAGCACAGTTTCTGCTTGAAGTTATCATCAGTTTGTATGCGTTTAAACGTAGATAAACGTAGAGGAGCAGGAGACTGCAGATAACAGAAACAAATAGTAAACACTGTTAGCCTGAAGAGTTGCGTAACAACTCAGGAAAATTATAATTCATGAAGTTGAAATTATCTCAGTAAGCTGAAATCCCTATTATTATGCACGATTATCAGGGTAACTGTGTATATCAAGTTTTGGAAAAGATACCACCCTATAAAAAGTATTGAACCCCTGAATCAGATAGTAGCTATACTTGGCAGAATACCCTGGATAGTCGATGAAGATCAC